TTTTTTTTTTTTTTTTCGTCCGGTATGCTTAAAAAAATGTTACGAAAAGGTCATTTTCGCAACAAAAAATTAAGGTTCTATATGTTTTGCAAAAAAGTGTTCCAAATCCGTCCTTGTGTATGAAAAAGACTCTTGTGTGACATTTTTCCAAACATATGAGACGAAAATTAAAAAAACACAATTCGAACAGGACGAAAAAGTTAAAGTAGTGAAACATATAGGACTAAAATTATAATTTATTTTAATAAATATTTGTGCATAATAAATATATAGAAACAATAGCAAACTAGTCCTTGTAAATTGAGATAAATGACAAATTTGTGGTCGAAAAAGAATTTTAACTTTCATTTTTTTTTTCAACTCCTTTACAAGGGATATACAAATATCATTTGTTATTTTCATTTAAAAAAATCGTGTACACTCAACAGTTTTCTTTCAGGGATTGTCTGTTGTTTTATACACAAAAACTAGACATATATAATGATTGTGGGAAATGCTATGGTCCCGTTACGGTACCATCCCGTTGGGTGTTTTAACCGTTGGATCATATATCTTATACTAACTACATGTGTATCCAACGGTTAAAGCACCTACAGAATAGTGCCGTAATGGGACCGTAGCATTTCCCAAATGATTGTATATATTCACTATATTGCAGATAAATTGCATCTTTTACTATCCCGAGACTTCAGATACCTTTGGTCCCATAATTTTTAATTTGGTACTTTTATTTAAATTGAGCAATATAATGTATAAGTAATTAAATATTAACTGCTGCAGTTTTATTTTTCAATAATAAATATTTCTTTTTCAAACTATCTTCATATATATATATATACATGCTATATTAATGTGTGTAGAAAATTCTGTCAAAAAATGGACATTAAAAATTGCCAAATAGATGGCAAAATAATCAGTCCACCAATTTTGATGACACCACAAAATAATATATTTTTGCTAGGATAATGTCTAATTTAATAGAACAAAAAAATAAAAATAAAAATAAAATAGTCTACTCATATATCATGTCCAATTATTTTTACAATTTTTTTTTTTTT